CCGTGTTGGTATCTTTTGTGCTTTTTCATAAACGTGAGGAAGCAAATAAATTAATAATGTAAACTTTTTCCAGGATTTTGATTTATCCGAAAACCACCAACTTCGGAATTCTCGAACCAAACGAAAACATGTTTTTTTTTTATCTCTAAACATCCCCTTTGACATTTCTTGTTTTTGCTATTTTCGTTTATATATAGTTGACGTCGCATCATACCGCGGTAAGAACGTGATGGCAGACTTTCCAGATTTGTTTCAGTTCAATATTTTTTTTTCTAAACAGATAATCTCTGAGGAATCGTCTCACTGGCGTATGAGGACGTTGAAGCACCCGCCGGCCATTGAATCGCTATAGCAGGAGGTCTCGGTGTGTATTTCACGTCGCATTCGGTGAATTATGCCATTAATGTGTGGACTTTGTAGTACATATTCTATCGAGATAACTCAATGAGCCGCCCTAACCCTTGCTTAGTAGCGTAGAGACTAAATAGGAACCTTTGTTAACCACTTATGGTTTACCTTTCCATGTTCGTCGTACTGTGTCTAACACCACGAATTCATGCAGCAAAAACATAATTTCTGCAAAGACAAGTTTTGTTTTAAGAGAACTAAACCGACGCATTAATGCAGAAGTTATCAAACTATATCATCATACATATGCCAGATTCCAGAGCACAGATAAACACACGAGTCAAAAAGCACTCCTTAATTTCGCAAAAACCAATTTTCTTTTTTCATTCGAAGCCTACAAATATTCTGGAGGTGAGTGACCATAAGGTCAGCACAGAGTTTGTGTAGACAACTGAACTATAGGATCTCAATAAAAGTGAGAGCGAATGGCAATCCTCAACCCATTATGGTGTTCATTTTGGTTCGTAAGCAAATCAAGGCACCAAACTAGGGAAACCTAAGGAACCGCAGTGTGTGTTACCTAGAAGTGTCTGGCATTGCCAATTGTGCATTCCCAAAGCACATCTACATGCCTGTCTCGGAAATCTAACAGTTATAACAGAGAATGTTTTATTTTTATTTATTTGGTACCTACATCGCCCGAAGGGCATTACAGTAGGGGGGGACGAAAGAAATTTACAAAAGCAAACGTACAGCAGAACAGCAACATCAAATAACAAGGCCCCAAGCAGGAGAAGCATATATACTGCAATAATATAAGAAAATGAATAACCGCAAAATAACCATGTCAAACGGGAGAAACATGCCAATATAAAGCGTAATAATATGAAACAAAAAATGATTAACAGCGTGCAGAAGTCACACATCGAACCGACTACAATAACATAATTTCACCAAAAAATGATTGTACAGTAGGAAGCTTTACAAGTGAGTCGGGCAGCACATTCCAGTCATTAACTGTCTGCGGAAAAAAATAATATTTTAGAACGTCGGTCCGTGCGCGAAATTCTCGGATCTTTTTTTGATTACCAGTTCTCAGGGAAACGTAATGAAGTTCCAATAGATATCTCGACGTATCTATACCGACGCTACCGTGATAAAGATTATACATAAACTTGAGACGGAGGCAGTTTCGTCTTAGTTGTAAAGGTTTCCATCCGAGCTGAAGCTTTAATTGAGAGACACTGTCATAAAAATTATAGTTATTTAGCACATATCTAGCGGCGTGGTTTTGAATTCTTTCAATCTGATTTATAAATGTTTGCCTGTGTGGGTCCCAAAGAATACCAGCATAGTCCAGGATTGGGAGGACGTAATATAAGTAGAGAGTTTCTTTCAAATGAGCCGACACTTTTCTGAAATTGCGACGCAAAAAATGGAGCATGCCGCTGGCGTTAGAACATAAGAACTTCACATAATCATTCAATCTTAAATCAGCGGTTAGGCGTACCCCGAGATAAACTGCCTCAGTGCTAAGCTGCAAAGGGAGATTTGTTTAATTTAAAAACGGCAGAGACAATTTTACGTTTTCTAGTGAATCGAACGTGGACACATTTGGATACATTAAGGAACATTTTCCACTTGTCACACCACTCTGTGATCTTATTTAAATCACCCTGTAGGGCCTGGACGTCGGTGTCATCGGACACTTCTCTGTATAAAACGCAATCGTCAACATACAACCTTATACTCGATGAAATTCCGTGCGTGATATCATTAATGAAAATTAGAAAAAGAAGGGACGTGTTGCCAGATACTTTTGTAAAACACTTCCTCTCCAATTGTTTACTACGACGGTCTCTGCCCAGAAGTAGGAGAAAGTATGGGAATTCTGAAAGTCCCACAGAAATAATAAAATAAGATAGAGACTGAGGAGGGAACAACGATGTACGCCTAGCAATTTCGGCTCAGTCTGGAGTAATCTTACTTCGGTAATGGGCAGCAGAGGCTGTGGTCCACACACTGTTCAGAGAGTTCATAATTTAGTTTACGTCATACATATGTGACCTATCGTTTCAGTGTTTATTTTCTATGCTTGCGCCCTTCTACCGAACACTCCAACGTTTTCTTCATGTTGTGAGCGGTTACCTACTTCTAAAGCTTCAGTACTAATTCGACATTGGTATTTTCGGAACAAAAGCAGGTAGGTGTGTTTTAAAGTGTGCTGGCCTATATTCAGGGTGTTTCACGAAAAGTGGACAAATTCGATATTGCAAAAACTACCCGTCGCAAAAAAAAACACAAAAAGGCTTGTGTCGTTTTGGTCCTGGGCCAGGGGCCTATTTAGGAAAGCTAATAAAGTCCGCGATATTTAGACTGTTAAATATTTTTACGTGATTAACTTTTTAATATTGTGTTCAGGGGTATGGTTTCAATTAGAAAAATGCTCAGCATCATCGAAAAACACTACATAAACAAATTGCTGAACGACAAAAAGCACGCGAAACCATTTTACGGCTTTCTGAAAAACCGCACAAATTTTACGGGTTTTTTAAGTTTCGCTTTACAATCGGAGCGCATCTCGGCCCTGACGGCACCGCGCCCCGTGGAGAAAAAGTGCAACCAACTCCCGCTGTGCGGTTTTTCAGAAAGCCGCAAAATACTTTGCGTGCCTTCTATCGTTCTGTAATTTGTCAATTTAGTGTTTTTCGATGATGTTGAGCAATTTTCTAATTGAAACAATTCTCTTAGACACAATATTAAAAAAGTCAATTACGCAAAAATAATTAACATCTAATTATCTCCGACTTTAATAATTTTCCTAAATACGCCCCTGGCCTAGTAACAAAACAAAACAAGCCTTTTTTTTCTTTTTTTTTCTTTTTTTTTTTTGCGACGCGTAGTTTCCGCGTAATTGAATCTGTCCACCTTTCGTGAAACATCCTGCATACATTCAAGGGGTCAAACCTTTTAAGGTATGGAACTTTTTAAGGGAACATATACGCCCAGAAACTTGCTCGTTCGTTCGTCCGTAAAATTGTCTACTCAACGCATCGGGAACATTAAAGAGACGTGACCTTACGATGTCACGCGACAGCATGACTTGACGCATTCAAACCTCGTTATATGACTATGTCGTGCCACGTCAGGTAACATCAATTAGGGTCACGTGACATGTCGTCGTGGTGTCAAGTCATAATAACACGTGATATCATGACGTCACGTCACATGACGTTGATTGGCTGCCTGCCTACCAATCTCATGCTGCGTGCAAGTTCATCCGCGCTTCGAGCTCCTCACGCGTTTGTTTATCGCCAAATGGGCCCACGTGCTTCGGTTTACCCCCGGTTTACAGCCAATAACGGCGCCGCGAGCTTGGCTGTTTCGTCGTCGCGTTTTTCCCGCGTGCTCTTAAAGTTGCCCTTTGATTGGGTTGACGCTCCTTGCGTTCTGCTGCGCCAAAGACGGGTTTGGCAACAGTTCCTCGCCGTATTCGACTGCGAAGCAATAATAAAATGCCGAAGGCTCTCCACACCCGGCGTATCTCAAGCTGTCAGCGTCTAAAATACAATTAATGCCTACGCCGGCGGATTGATGGTTCCCGAGTGACAGCTGCCCGGTGACGTCTGTTCGCGTCCATTCCGTACGCCGTGACGCAACACAACATCTGGTACCGGGGAGACCGCGATAAGCGATGAAATATATTCTGAACGAAAGAAATGAGCAAACAAACACCCTTTTCTTTCCACAATTTTACAGCGGAAATAACATTTTTCTTTCCGGTTCTAATTTCTTGGAGTTCGCAATGCCCAGCTAGTAATGTTCGAAGGAAATGTAGTTTGACTGCTTATAAAAGTATTTATGGTTTTGAGCGTTAAAATCCGAAAGAGATCGTTCAGCATACTTTGACGATTCGTATATTCCTTTGAAGATCTGAAACCTTACATAGCTTTGCACCGAGAAAGGACGTCATCGTTTTTGCCCTTAGTCTTCGCCCTGGCCGTTTTCTTTTTCTGACGCTACTCTTTGATATTAATGATAAAAAAAAAACAGTTTAGAAAACGACATAGCCTGGACAGTGATCATCTGGTATATGATTACTTCATTGCGTACATTTCAAGAAAAGAAAAAAGGCTGAATTTCTCAATAAAACTTGGCTAGATTAGGAATTTATGTTTCGAACCAGCAATGTGCCACAGGCACTACCACGCGAAAATCTGGGGTTCACTTTGAATTACACATGATTTGTTTGACGTGCAATTGAAATCTCAAATACCCCCAAAGCGCTTCTTCTCCATTAACCTCGGTCAGTTCTTTAGCACATCGGCTAATTCGAAGTAACGTTTCTTTTAGAGTTTTATCTAGTAGCTTTTTTTACCTTCTAGCGTTGCCTGAAACGTGCAGCGCAGCACCGAAGTACTTCCCCGACTTTAGTTTTTGTTACCAATTAAACTATTGTTTAAAAATTAACGTTAAAGAGATGATAACAAACATCAGTACATAGATGGGAACAATTACTGTCTAATAACTTTTCTAGGTCGCCGGCTGGTGGTCCTTTCTTCCCTACCTTGCTGTTTTTGAGGCGTGCTTAGTTACAAACGATCTCGATATTTGTTTGCGCAGGTGCTTCAGAAGAGGTCAAGCAAGTCAACATGCATGTGGCACCAAAACGAACTCCACACCTGCAGATGATTGACGGAGTCCCTCGGTCTCCTATTGTAAAGCCAGAGGTTTATCGTGAAGCCTTGAGTTTCAAACCAGCAGCCGATGACGTGATTCTTGTAACCTATCCAAAATCGGGAACGCACTGGGTTTCACAGATTGCCCTCCTTATTCTGAACAGAGGTCAGTCTCCCAGAGATCTCGCAGACTTTGTAAGACAAGCTCCATGCCTCGAAATGAATGGAGTGTCAGTTTCCTATACATCGCCAAGATTCCTGCGTACGCACTTGCCTTTCGGACAGATCCGATATAGTAATGACTCCAAGTACATCTACGTGGCACGCAACCCTTTGGACGCCTGTGTCTCCTTCTACCATTACATCAAAAATCTACCTCACTATAGATTTGAAGACGGTAAATTCGAAGACTTTGTAGAAGCGTTTATTAAGGGCCGGGTTGGTCAGGCGGATCATTTAGAACACGTGTTGTCCGGGTACGCCAGGAGACATGCCTCAAACGTCCTCTTTCTGACCTACGAGGAGCTGAAGGCGGACACTGCCGGCATTATAGTCAAGTTAGCAAAGTTCTTTGGTGAAACATACGCCTCGATGTTCGAGAAGGACACCGGACTCATGAACGAAATCCTCTCTAAGAGCGGCCTCGAATATATGAGGAACACGTATGAGATGAGCATTGATGAACTGTGCGTAATCTACAATATCCGTCCCCTGCCTCAAGATATTGCAGATGCACCGTCGAAAATTAAAATCGAACCGAGAAAATTAAGTGCTATGCGCAAAGGAACTACCGCCGATTGGCGAGAACATTTCACACCTGAACTGCTACAGCAGATGCGAGCCTGGATTTATGATAAGAGTCAATGCTTTGACCTTATGAGTCTTTGGAGGAACGAATTAGCAGCATCCGACCTAGATTCCAGCATTTAAATTCGCGACATAATTGCATTGGTGTGCTTCAAAATATATAATCGTGTGAAATAAATGTGCCACCTAAGCCAATATATGCCTTCGTTTCACACAAATCTAACCAGTCTGGCTGGAGGTGGTTCCTGCCCTGTTGGAACCCAGCCTTATGCCTGGTTGACATTAGTGGAAACAGTCTTGCCGCGAAGTGATTTTGTTCGGAGGCAAGCAACCACACAAATCACACTTTTTGCATCCTACCGTGTCCGTGCGTCTCCGGTCTATCGCGAATAACAGAAAATACAGCCTCTGGCCCTTGCGGTGTTGGAAAAACTGCTCTCGCATGCGCTCTCTTGAAGTAAACACACCAACACTATGCAATATAAAATACCTCATTTGGGTTACGCGGCCAAGAGAAGGCCGCGTAACCCAAGGCGAGCAACCCTTGCACTCGATGAAGAAGCTCCCAAGGCGAGCATTGAGCTTCTAACCCAGCCACTTCGAGAGGCCAAGACGGTTGCTAACAAGAAACTACGAGTATCACAAGATCACCCAGACCCTGTGCTTCCTCCGTGCTTCTTAATTACCTGCGTCAATACAAAAACTTTTTTTTTATGTGTTGAAATATTAGATTTTGGCAGATTTCTTTTATGGCAGAAAATTACGACGGTGGCGAGCAGATTGCTTCCCGGCGACAAATTACCGCGCGAATCTGTCCGGGGATCCGCAGACGGATTTGTCATTTTACGTGACGCTCGGATACAAAGTGATTAAAGCAGCCCTAGCTTAGAAAAGCTCAGATCCCGGACGGACGTGCTTCTGCGCAACACAATAACGGACAGGCAAGAAAGGTTGCGAAGTGCGATATATATTTTACCCTATCAACACACACACAAAAATCTAAATATTAGGCTGTCCTCCGGTATTCCTTATCGTTCGTTCTCTAAGAAGTTTCTTTGATGACATAATAAGAAAACGGGCTTTTTGTTGGTGCGTTTTAGAAGTTGTGTTTGTGTGTGCGTTGTTTCGTTTCATCAACCTCCCAATCTCCAGTCAGAGCGCTCTTATTATAATTTTATTCGCCTTTTTGTTGAATCCTCACCGTATAGTAGCGTAGTCCCAGTAGCAGAAAGACATATTTATTTTACGAATGACTCTAGTCATTGTGAAATGAAGAAATGCGGAGCGTGGCTTGCCCTGAAAATCATATTATTTATTCGCAGCCAATAAGATTACATTCCACGAAAATAACATGAACGATCGAACCATTATAAAGCAAGAAACATGAACATTGTAAGCTACTCCCAAAGTTCTTTATGCTGTGATGCTGAGTGCCGCGTAGCCAATTTCATTTCATTTCCTTTATTGGATCAATCAATTCAATCACAGGTTGCAAAGAGGTCCCACCCCCTACCCCTGCAGCAATGCCTCCATATTTTTGAGAAAATACATTTAAAATGGCTGATACCAAAATTAAACTCAATACTGAGTCTCAGAGTTAGTAAGAATTACTTAAATACACCTTTAAAAAATCGATCTCAGTTTGAATTACCCAGAGAGCACAAATAAAGGTCTCACGGGTTTGCGAAAACGTTTGAAGAGCACAAATGTGGTAAATTACTCGATATCTTCCATTCCCTTGCATAATATTTATTCTACAAACCTTGTGATTACGAATGACTGGAACTGGGCTAAAGGATGAAAACAGTTTCTCTAAAAAATAAATTGAAAATATGTTTTTGTTCAGTGCTTTTTAATGTGGATGTACAAAATACTCCCAATTAATGCGTCTACTGCTCCGGATAGGTAAACATTAACAAGGAGATAGCCGTGTTGACGTCACGACATCCACGACCAATCACAGGCCTTAGCGAGATTGCGGGAGATGTCCTTCGGCGATTGGTGCACTTGTTCTCATATTGAAACAGTTTTACTTTCACTTCGTTTGAATATCAATTAAGTGTTCGTATTCAAGAAAAAAAAATGAAAGACGTTTACAACTTCCTGTAACGATGAATTAGAGCGCAGCTCTTGAGGAGGAAGAGGGGACGGTATGCTCCTCCTCCTAATGCGTAACCCCTCCTCCTCCCATCCTTTTCCCGTGCTTCTCCGCTCTTCCTCTGCTCCTCCTCCTCCTGCTCCCCTCTTGAGCTATTCCGATTTCGCGATATACCATGCTAAACAATCTGAAATATATATATATATATATATATATATATATATATATATATATTGCAAGAATGAGAAATGGGAATGATTTAAGAGAAAGAGGGAGCGACAGATATCGCGAACCGTTCGTAAGCACACAGCGCGGCCTCTCGAGCTGCTCGCACCTTCCCCCGTACCCAACCGTTCCTCGTCTCTATCTTCCTAACAATAAATATATATATATATATATATATATATATATATATATATATATATATATATATATATATATATATATATATATAGGTGAAGTAAGGTAAATATAAAAACAATGGACCGGGAAAAGGTAATAAGTCAAAGATGCGTACTGTCACCCATGTTGTTCTAAACTATTCAAACACTGCCCTCATTCCGGTACTGTACAATTCGATTGGTGTTCCGCCATTGTTTAACCTGTCGTCAAATCAGGTGATTGATCAAACCCTTGTACTAATCGCCTCATATTTCTCACCGGTGCACAGTGCGATTTAATGGAGCATGTCATTTTTCTGAACATCATGTCAATATGAAATTCAATTTTCCAATCAACAGGTTTTTATTAAAAGAAAAAACTACTCTTGTGAAACCCATCTGTTTGAATGTGTTCATGATTTCCATGCTTATACGCATCAGGCTCGCTGATTTCGCCGGGGCGTTTGACACCGTAACTCATGAATAATTAATTTTAAAGCGTTCTAGTCTCCGAATTTACCCATCTATAGAAAATAGATTTTGAGTCTTTCTCACCGACGGAGCTCTATCTGTAATTATTGACAATGCAGTGTCCCTTCGGGTACTAATTTCTGGAGTACCCCAGGGGAGTGTGCTCCGACAACTACTCTTTCTTATATATATTAATGACCTGCGCTCAAACATTCAATCAAACTTTAGATTCTTTGCTTGCGTATACGATTGTGCGCTTTACCGGAACATTTTTTCTCCAGCCTACCACTTCATCTTTCAAAATGATGTTAATAAATTCAGCGAATGGTGTGTCACGTGGCAAATGAAAATAAACTCAAGTAAGTGCAGCGCATTAACAGCTACAACAAAGAAAATACTACCGCCTTTCCAGCTTTCCAGCTTTCCAGTACTCCATTTTAAATCAAGTAGGTGAATGTGTAACATTATATAAGAATGTAGGAGTTAGTTGGCCCAATATATTTGTACCGGAATGCGCATTTAGATAGTATAGCGAATAATGCATCACGCAAACTATGTTTTTTTTAAATAAAAAAATAAAACAAAAATATAATTCCTTTACCAATGAAACTAAACTTCCTGCTTATAAGTCAACTATCCCTCCGAAATTCGAATAGGCCAGCAGGATATCAAATCCTCACCAAAATTATTCAGCCTTAAATTTAGAAACATTACAGTACAAGGCCTCTCATCTGCCGCTAGTACGCACTCCTAAAAGGTGTCTCAGAAGTGAAGAGAAACTTGGAACTAAACTCTTTGTATAATCGAGGTAAGATTTCTGTGTTATGCTTTTTCAATCAAATTTAATACAGCGAATCACTTTTCGGGACATATTTCTGTATGCCTCCACGCTTCACATTTACCAGGCTTGATCACACATGCAAAAGTTCAACCAATTAAATCACGCGCTAACTTGTTCTTGTTTGCTCCTCTATAATCATTCACATTTCTTTGCTTAATTTAATTTGATCATAACGACAATCACAAATTGGCTATGAAAGTTCTGCTCTAGCACTGTGCTTATCGTTGTATTGCTTAATCTATTAAACCTTTGTATAGTCACTTTGAAGTTCTGGTTTTCAGAAGTAACCCTTAGTAAAACTTTCTACAAACGGTTCTCTTCTTGTTTTGTATTTGTTGCTATCATGACTATTCCTCCCTTTAAGCCGTCCCTCCTCATGTCATTTATTGCCGTCGAGGTAAATAAATAAAATGAAAGGAAAGAAGCGCACATACTCAGCTCACATGTATTGGACGCAGAAGAAAATAAGATACAAACCGCCGATTCAGCTCGGGCGACCGTCACAAAGGGACAAGGGCAGATGGGCTGAGGTAGGCACGCGGATTCAACTTTACTTATTGATTGGGTGTTGTTTTTTTAACGAAGAAAGATATGATATTTCTGTAATCATATGCATACTGTTGAATTCGACTGCCTACCTCGAGGTCGTGTGCCCTCGTAGCTACACGGCCGTCGCTAGGAAAATAAATCTGCCAAAAAAACGACGTCTGCCCTCCTGAGCTTTTCTCCTTGAGTGACATATATTGTATCTCCCATTGACAAGGTAGATGCTACGCAGGAGAAGGCGGACGGTGCCTTAATTACTGGCTTTAAAGGGTAACTGCAAAGAAAAAAAAATTGCTTTTTTTTTCAAACAGCCTAATTGGGACAAGCATGTCACAAAACAAATGGTCCGCGAAAAAAAAAATTGTTTAGCAATATTTACGTCACAAGGCGTAATTTAGTCGGAGTCAGAACATCTCCACATTTGAAACTCCCGCTCTTTCGACCGCCGCGGAGAACTACGCCCGCTTTGCTCTTTTTTGTTGACTTGGCTGCTGAGTTGAACGACGCAGCGTTTCGACTTCCGGTAAGATCTGGCAACAACGCACGCTAAGCATGGCGCAGGCACTGTAGCGCCGGTTTTGTTTTGGTTTGTCGGTACACGAGAAGCTGCGGGGTTTGCGAGCACATAGCGAAGACGTGACCGGAGAAGTGCCCCTGTGATGTTCCCGGAAGACGCAAAGTACCATTCGTAATCGTCGTGTGTGCATTAAAAGAGAAGGGAGTCACAGGGTCCACGAGGGCGCAACGACAAGCCAACGTTCACGACAGCGCTGCGTTGACTTCGGCG